GGTTCAGCTCCACATTAATGAGGCCAATGAAGCGTGAAATCAGAAGAAGCAGCCAGTGGATGCAGGACTGCTTCCTCTGGGCTTTTACCTGAGTCTCTCGCTCACATGTACACAACACTAGTCGTACGTTCCTAACCAAATCCATTATGAATGTCCCTTCTGCTTCTTATTCTTGGACACCCAATTACTTGCGCTGGACGCCTTATTTAGTTTCCAACTTATTCCTTTACTTTACTCTAAGACCTGATTTAAGATGCACCTTCCAATAGCTTACGGCGGTTCTGTCATTCACCCTCGGGAAAGAAACAAAGATAGTTTGGCTACCCAGGCAAGATGCAAAAAAAGTGATGTGCGCAAAAAAACTTTCTCTTGCATCTAATTCGTTTTTGTCCTAACTAGCTCTGTACATGACGTCTGACAGGATATTTCGGAATTATTCAAAAATCATATTTTTTGCCCAAATCTGTTTGAATCTATGTAGGTTTTTTGCAATCTAATCAGGAAATAAAACCACTTAAAATGTCTTTTTTATTTTGTAGAAATTTAAATTACGATTAAAATCAGGCTTTTGTTGAGGGACCTTAGTCTCAGTCATTATTTTAGTATTTTTTCAGGGTTTTTTTGTCATTTAAACATTCGCTAATTTGCCCTTTTAGTAAACTATTTGTTGATCACTTCCAGCTCATTGTGAAATCTCGTTGGTCCAAATACTGCTCCTCACAACTGTAACGTTAAACATGTAGTTTATTCTGATTGGCTGCCTGTGATTGAGTCTCGTCTTGTGCAGTAGTTTCACGTTGAGTGTAAATAGATGAATTGTTTGTTGCTGGGAACTTTGCATCGCTCTTGTTCAGACTTGTTGTAATGGTGTTCCTGTCTAAATGCTTGAAACCCAAGAGCTGTGAAGTCCTAAAGGCCTGATTTATGTTTATGCATGCTTATTTGCCGGCCTGTAAATATGGATGCGTCCTGCCTTTATCTGCTGACTGGACTCTGTTGAACCCACTTTAAGGCTTCACGGCTTCAAGGATTTTTGCTGCGTCTTCAATGCAAATCGGTGCGATCGGTCATCGCTCATGACTGCTGTATCATTCTTTGCATTGCCTTGCCATTATCTTTTTCCGGTGACTCGGTAGTGCTAATGATTTCAGTCAATTTAAGCTTAATGCCAGCTGTGATCTTTGATGTAGCCGATTGCCAGCATTGATCTTAGCTTCCCTTGCCTTTTTTTTTTTTTAGAAGTAGTGATGCACCAAAGTGAAAAGCTGAAACAGAAAATTCTAGGCACAAGGATGCCAAGATGGCGTCCTTCTAGTCAGACATGCTTTTTCTCTGTCCTTGATAGACGTGGAGTTTGCAGCTGGAAATTACGTCCCAGCTTTTCTTTTTTTTTCTTTTTTTTTCTTTTATTTAATACGAAGATACCCCTTACATCTTAATGGTATTTTCCATCAGGAAGATGGAACTTGCTCGTGAGTCCGTGATGGAGCCCCCTTGCCTGGCCGATTTCCCTAGTCTGACTGAAACACCCCAAAAAACTGATTCTCCGGCTAAAAAAAGGAATCGAGTCGGTGCGAAACCTGATTCCGAGAACACTTCGGAAGTGCTTGAAGCTATCCATGCACTTGGCTTGAAACTCGATCAAACGCATTTAAAGGTTTCAGCGATTGAGAAAACTACTGAGCTCACTTCGGCCAAGGTGGACAGTTTAGCAACTTCTGTGCAACAGCTCATCGTCGAAGTTAACTCTCACGACGAACGGTTATCCCTGATTGAGAAAGAAATGCAAGCTCTAAAGGCTGAAAACGCGACTTTGAAGTCTAATATAGCAGAGGCTCAACGTTACACTCGACGATGGTCCCTCAAATTGACCAGATTGATCGGGTGGTGGACGTAGCTCATCGTCTTGGTCGTAAATCAACACCACCAAATGCTATTCTTAAGCGACCCATTGTCATTCTCTTCTCGATGCGCCGTTACCGTGATGAGATTTGGAGGGCAGCCAAAAACTCCAGATTTTTACTGGACAACGCGCTAAACGTGCTAGTTTTCACTAAATGTTTACTGCCTGCTGCATCTCTGGGTTCTCATTTAACCTAGTAAATTTCAGCTTCAAGACATTAGGTCTTGAAGCTTGGTAATTTGTGAATTAAACAATTTTATTCTTTTTTGTTGTTGTTCAGATTCTAGTTCTTTTTCGGAATGGACTTTAAGTTTAATTCTTTGAGCATAGCATCACTGAATGTAAGGGGCGTTCGAGAAATTACGAAGCTAAAGGCTTTATTTCTTTTTTTAAAACGGACTGATGCTGACATTATTTTTTTGTCAAGAGACACATTCTACGGACTTGGATGAAAAATTTTGGAAATCTCAGTGGGGAAAATCAATTTTTTTCAGTCACGGCACTTCGCACTCAGCAGGAGTTATGGTTTTGATGAACAGATTTAAAGGAGACGTTCTGAACTTTAAGTGCGAGAACAGAAGATGGGTTATTCTAACTGAAATTAGACAATACTACATTTATACTTTGTAATATTTATGGTCATAATTCCAATTCATTGAATAAGTCCTTATTTGCAAAGGTTTCTGATATTATTCAATGCAAATTTGATGCATTCCAAGCTTCATATGTTATATTTTCAGGCGATTTTAATGAATGCGTGGATAATTTGAGTGATAGACATCCTCCTCGTTCTTCTCAACGTGACGCACAATCAAACTTAGCTTCTCTATGTGCCAACTTATCACTTACTGATACTTGCCGATTCTACAACCCTGGGATATCAGAATATACATGGTCTAACAAAGACAAATCTTTGCAATCTAGAATTGACATGTTCTTTATTTCTACCTCTGCTTTGCAATATGTCAAGGAAATTGTTCATAATTATGCCCCTTTAACTGACCATAAGCTTATTTCTTTAACGCTTACAGGGCGAAATGGCTTGAAGAGGGTGAAAAAAAATACAAGTTATTTTTTCGCACTTGAGAAAAGAAATTTTAAAAGAAATGCTTTAACTGCTTTAAACATTAATGGGAATCATTGTATGGATCCAAAACAAATTTCTGACTTTGTTTACTCTTTTTATAAAGAACTATATAATTCCAAATTTGATCTATATAATTGTGAAGAGTTCATTCAAATAGTCCATCAACATATTCCTATTATTGATAAAGAATTTCATGACTTCTGTGAATCCAATATAACTTCTTCTGAGATCAAAGATGCCCTGATTAGAATGAAAAAAGGGAAAGCACCAGGTATAGATGGGTTGACAGTAGAATTTTACTTACATTTTTGGGAACTGATCGAAATTCCTCTTTATAATATGTATAATGAATGTATTAACAGTGGCGAAATGACTACTACTATGAAACAAGGTATCATTTCGTTAATTGCCAAACCGGATAAAGATTCACACTTGATAGAAAATTGGAGACCAATCTCTCTTCTAACAATTGATTATAAATTAATTACTTTAGTATTTGCTAATAGATTACGAGAAGGTTTAAATAAAATGATTAGTGAATACCAATCAGGTTTTTTAAAAGGTCGACACATAACTAACAATATTAGACTTGTGCTTGACCTTTTGGATTATGCTGAGAATGTTGATGAAGGAGCCGTTATTTTCTTTGTGGACTTTTATAAAGCGTTCGATACAATTGAACATGAATTCTTATTTAAAACTATAACGCTTTTTGGATTCGGAAATACATTCTTGAATGTAGTTAAAATGTTTTACAAGGATATTAATAGTTCTGTAATACTTAACACTTCCACCTCTAAAAGATTTAACATTAACCGTGGAGTACGTCAAGGTTGTCCAATTTCCCCCTTTTTATTTTTGTTGGTAGTTGAATTATTATCTATTGGGATTGTTAATAATGAACAAATTCAAGGTCTCCAAATTTTTGGTAATGAGATTAAAATATCACAATTGGCGGATGACACAACCTTATTTTTAAAGAGCTTATCTTTTATTCCCAATGCTGTCTCCTTCATCAGTATTTTCTCTAAGGCTTCTGGCATAACTCTAAATTTATCCAAATGTGAAATCCTCCCTTTACACAATTTAAATGATAAAGTTATTAATAATATTCCAGTGAAACCCTCTGTCAAATACCTAGGAATTCTTGTAACAAAGGATGTTACAGAAAGACAAAACTTAAATTTCTCCTCTAGACAAAAGCGTTATTAAACTGTTGGTTACAACGTGATCTCTCGGTTTATTTCTATTTTCATTAATAAAAAAAAATAAAATAAATTCTAGGCACACTGGGTTGAAAATTGAAAATGATCATTTTAAGTTAGCCTTTGTTTGAAAAAACAATGTCAATTATTTTAATAGTTTTTAAATATCTATGGGTGTCTTAACAGTTGGATTGTCATTAGAGTAATATGTAGGCTACAGCAAATATGTATAATTATATTTCTTTTATATTCATTACTTCAATTAATAAAATGTATATAATCAAATTAATCTAAATTAATTTTTAAAAGTATTTAATATTTAAAATATTTAATAAATTTCTAATAAAATATTTTATAACTGTACAAATGTTGTTGTTTTTTAATTCCTTTGTACCGTTCTTGTGTTGCATTTTTTAAGGGAGCATGTCCTGGTTGAAAATAGTGTTGTTTTTTTGTTTGTTTTTTTAAATAATGCTTTTAATTGCATTCTGCATTGTTATACTCCAATGCATTGTTTTATATATATATATATATATATATATACAAATTTTTTA